CCTGCAAATGTGTTTTTTTTTTTTTTTTAATCTTTGTGAAGCATGAATTATAGAGAAAAATACACAAACATATGTTCAGTTTAACAAATAGTCATAAGGCAAATACCTATATAACCACCACCCAGGTCGAGAGATAAAACATTAGAACCCCCAAAGCCCCCCATAGGCACCTATCCTAACCCTCCCCTGTGGTCATGACTAAATAGACATTTGTGGTTATTTCTGTACTTTTTATAGTTTCCCCTCCTTTGCACATATCCTTCATAATACAGTCTTATTTTGTCAGCCATTAAACTTTTTTTCTTTATTTTTAATTTTAAAGAATTATTTAATTTTTTTATTGTTAGTATTTAATTTCCTATATGGCATGTGCATTTACGAGAGAGAGAGAGAGAGAGAGAGAGAGAAGCAAGCCGCCAGGTCCAGGACTTGAATCACAGTCAGCCATGTAACAGTCTAGTGCTTTAACCACCATGCCACCTGCTGGCCCAGCTGTTAACATTATTATGAAAGGAATGACATAGTATCTATCTTCTGTGTGTTTTGCTCAACATTATGCTGACAACTTGTTCATCATTATGGTATTATTATCCGATATGATCGTGTTATATTAGGCTGTCAGAAAAGTCAGGACGTATTTTTCTGTTTCTCTGTGCAAACATGTGTCATGGCTTTCCTGAAGACCCGATGGTTCCTGCACGTCACTGCAGGAGTACTGCATGACTTACTTGCTTGTACTCTCTACTGGTGACGGACATTTGGGTTCTTCCTCGTGCCCTGTGACTATTCTGGTGCTCAAGGGGATGAGCGTGGTTAGAATGGGTTCTGAGGAGTGGGACTTCTGGTTCATATTTTCATCTTTCCCAGATCACTTAGGTACTTTTTAAAAAAGACTTATTTAATTTTATTCAACGTCATTATTTTATTTCATTTTTTTTAAGGTGACCAGAGAGACACAAAGAGAGAAAGAAGGAAAGTGAAAAGGCAAGCCCCTAGGTCTGGGACTCAAATCGCTGTCAGCCACGTGGGAGTCCAGCCACCTTAATTACCACACCACCTGCTGGCCCCTGACATACTTCTAAATCCTGAAAATATTCCTCAGGGAAACGGTGCTGTGACACTAACGCCACGTCCCTGGTAAGATAACTGCGGCTCAGAGGGGGAGAGTAACCCCAGGGTCATCCGGGGTAGAGGAAATGAGGTATGGTTACCCTTACAAGTTGGACCTTCCCACCCTCTGTCTTCAGAACATTGTCCCCTCTAGCTCAGCCAGCCTTGTCCCCTCTGGCACCTGTGGCTGGGCCTCGCGGTAGCAGGCTGCTCTCTGGGCACCCGTAGGCTGGGGCCCCGCAGTAGTAGGCTGCTCTCTGGCCTCCCTTACCTCAGTGATACAGTTGGGTGGGGATGGGAGGAGGTCGAGAAAGAGGAAGTGGAAACCAAATACGAGGGCCGCAGAGAAGTCGGTCCCCAAACCTCACTGTTTCACCAGCACGCTCTGTGGGAGAGGAACGTGCGAGCTGTTCGTGGAGCATGCCTTGAAGGCGCCGAGGCCACAGCTGCAAAGGGTGCTACTGAACAGGCTGCCACCGTGCACTGGGGTCCCAAGGTATAAGTCACTCCATGCCAACCCCATGAAGTGTAAGTGTCATCATCCCCATGTCACAAAACGAAAACGCGGAGCTGCAGAGATAGGAGCGGAGTGGCTGGTAATAGAGCACCATGGTGAACAGCGTGGAATCCGGACCCGCCGGGTTTAAATCGTGGCTTCCTCGCTTTGTAGTACAACCTCAGGCACACTCATAAGTTACCTGACTTTCCCGGCCTCAGTTTCCACATCTTTAAAATGCTAACTGGTTCCCAGGGCTGTCAAGGAAGTTAAAAGACAAACTGTGCAGAAGGACATTCATCCAGTTCCTGGCACGAAGGAGGAACCGGCGGGATTAAAATGAGCAGAACTGTGAGACAGTAACTATTACTGAGCCCGAGGCTGACAGCCCGTGCATGGGGGTGGGGTCTAGTCCTGCAAGCGAAGACCAGTCGTGAAGCTGGCAGTGCTGGTCTGGGGCCGTGTGAGCACTCAGTTGGTGGAGTGCTGGCCAGGTGGACTCTGAAACTCGGGCACCTGGGCAGTCCTGCCCACAACCTGGTCCACCTTTGTCCTGGCTCTCTACCTATCTGTGGCTGCTCCCCAGGGCAGTGGCTTCCGGCAGAGGCTCTGAACCTCTGCACATGTGGAAGCTGCAGCTCGGCTTGAGCATTGGCCTTCGGGAGGCCGCACTGGCAGGCGGTGACAGTGGCAGCCAATGGGCAGTGAAGTCTGTTGCTAAGGTCACTGTGAACCTTATTTGGCGACATGGAGCTGACCCTGCATTCACCTCTGAGAACCCTGGGAAACGCCAACCACAGCTGTGAAATATGAACGTCTCAAAACCACAACTGCATTTCCTTTGAGAAAAGATTCGGCTCCATGCTCCAGCTTGCTTCTTGGGCTTGAGCCTTTGGTACGATGGCTCACAACGTCCAGGGAGACCGGCCTGAGTGTGAGTCTGCTGCAGGCTGGTCCTGGGCAGGCCCGGGCAGGGACTCTGGCACTGGTGGCTCCAGGACCCAGCAGGGACCTTGCAGACTTCTGTTCTCACCCTCACAGCTGCCAGCCCCTGCTCAGGCCCCACCACACACACCCGGAGGGCTGTTCTGGCCCCACTTCCTGCAGCCTTGGGAAGCTGGCTGGTGTGAGGAAGATGCATGGCACGCAGGAGGAAGTGGCTGCCCGGTGCTCTTGCCATCTGCGTCGGTCACACTGCTCTGGTGCAGCCTGCAGCTCAAACGGCTGGCGGTTTCAGTTTTTCACCTCCCTTTGACGCATCTTCCCATCTAACATGAAATAAGTAGAACTGTTGTCCCACCCCAGACAAATGTGGACGGGAAGCTAGGCCTTCAATATTTCCAAAATAATAGCCCCCATCGCCTCACGTTCCCACAGCACCCCCAAGTCTGGGAGCCGGGCTCCCGTTTGCCACCTTGTTGGATCACGACCCCGGCTGAGATAATACTGGGTACCGAGGACTTCGATCACAGCTACCGAGGCCCCTGCCTCTGCAGTCCAGCCCCTTCAGGACTGAGCCCTCGCCATGTGTCAGGAACAGGAATTAACTCGAAGAACTCACTGTAATTGCTCCCATTTTACAGAAGGGAAGAAATGAGGCAAAGCGAAGTTCAGTAGTTAGCTCATGGACACACAGACGGGGCATCACAAAGCTGGGGTTTTATCCCAGGCAGCTCAGTTCCACAGTCTGTCCATTATCTTCTGTCCTATTGCCTTCTACGGCACACCCACGAGAACAAGCCCTGACAGCTGAGAGAGTGAGGCTGAGAAGACTCGAAGGGTGATGTGAGGCTGAAGTCAGGCTTGCTTCCTTGGTCCACATCTCCTAGAGGACTGCCTCCAATATCCTTCAACTATCTCCCCTGACCCCAACTTCTTTTTAAAAAAAGTTTTAAAGTTCTTTCTTTCATAAGCAGGAAAAATAGAGACAGATAGACAGAGACAGGTACCCCAAAAGGGTCTTCACAGTGTGATCCACTCCCGGCTTCAGGCAACCTCAGATCAGGGGCATGTGTGTGCCTGGTACACTCAGGGAGGTCTCCGGACACGCGCCAGGGACCTTGCCATGTGGGGCAGCCTCCTGGATCACCGAGTTACTGCCATGTCACTATCCAGTCTCCTGCTTCCTCTTTTAAAAGTCATTGTCTTGTCCCTATACCCAGCTTGTCCCCTCTTGACCCACAAGCAAAAAGTGGCTTTTCTTTCCTTGGGTGGCCCAGGAGCCAAGAGTTCCTGCCTATCTGGAAGAGGTGACGTGAAGCCCATCCATTCAGGGAGGGGAGCAAAGCCAGGGCTGTGAAGGGTGTGCACAGAGACTCATACCCATCCCAGCTACCTCACCTGCCCCCTGGTTAAGCCACAGCTCTTTAGAACTGCCTGCACACGTGGGGACCACAGAGCACCCCCTGGGCTGGGGGCTTGGAGCTGTGGGCAGTGGCATCTGAAATGCCACATAGCTGGGGCCCTTCGGGCCTGCCCTCTTTTACTGAACACCTGCACAAGTCGGGCACTGCTCCAGGCATTGGGGACACACAGCGAACAACACGGACCCGATTCCAGGCCTCATTCAATTAGCTCCGTGTGGGAGGCAGACGTTAGACGCACAGCTCTATCTGACCACGCCGGAGCTAGTAGAGGGTCTTAGTCCAAGAAGGAGTGCATGGAACAGGCAATTGCACCCTGAGGGAGAGACTTCAGCTGAGGCACAGGGCAGGGTGGGATCAGCAGGTAGGGACAGCTCTCGGCTCTCTGCAGGCCAGTCCCCTCAGGAATCCTGCTGCTTTGGTGAAGGCTGCCCTGCTGGTGCCGTCAAAGTAGCCCAAAGCGTGCCTGTGCTGGCAGTGGCCTTCGCCGCGTGTGTATTGGGGTGGGGTGCGACTAGCAGGCAAGGGAGTCTTGGGTTTTTTGATCTTTGATCCACAGTTACATTAGAACTGTTTGAAAAAGCACCTCCTTTCCAAATCAAAGTCCCAAGTGTGCATGTGGGGAGCCCAGCAGGCCCAGGGGGTGAAGGCAGCCAGGATGAAATGGCCCAGACTAACCGACAGCTGGACCCCTCCTCAGGTACCATGGAGAAGTTTTCTGCATCAGCACGGGACGAGCTGTTCCTAGAGGAAACCCTCCCGGGCTGACAGCAGAACAGGGCCTCAGAAGAAGCTGATGTGGCGCTGCGGCCCCTCCATGCCCTCTGTAGACCAATGGGACGCCAGCACTGCCCTCTCTGGACTCGCTTCTCCTGCCTCTGCTGCTTTCTCCCTCGGGGACTGGAAAAGAAAACCCAGCACCAAAGCTGCCAGGCTGTGATTTCCAGTTTCATTTTCCAGTTTCCAGTTTCCATTTAGAAGCAGCTCTGTCCTTTTTCCCTTCCCCAGGGCACCATGGAGGAGGTGAGGGAAGGAAAAGGCATCTGGCCAGCGCCCTGCTCCCCCAGGGCTTGCGGAAGGGAGCTGGCAAAACCCTCTGTGGGGAGATTGTTCACTGCAGATTCCTGGCTCTCCATTCTCTGAGGCCATAGGTTTATGCCCTTTGGTGGTTCGGAGGTGGCCTATGGACCTGGCCTCAGAGATCATTAAACAGCAGGAGCACACCTGAGGCAGGGCCTGGAGAATGTTTGTGAAATGCTGAGGCTTCCCTTTGGCAGCCCCTGCCTCTGTCCCCCTGGCCTGCATCTCAGATGTCAGTTCTCCAGGACCTGAGGGCTGCAGGAGCCCAGACTGTGGTCCTCACATAAGCGTCTCTTCCCCCACACTCTAGAGTTCCCTATAAGCTGCTAATTTGCAGCAGGCAGTAATGGAAACAAAACAAGAAAGAAAAAATCTATTAAAAGCTCTTAGATCCTTCTCCTCTGTCCATTGCTCCATTTATTTGCAATTGATAGCCTAATTTCAAAAGGATTTAAGGACATACGAATTTTTCCCTCTTCTCTGTGTGCACGTGTGTGCGCATGTGTGAGAGCATGTGGGGGCTGGGTCTTCCAATGTATCCTTGCCCTGGTTTGACCTCACAGAGAGCAGGTGGGCAGGTCCTCAAGCCTGGCAGATGTAGACCTTTCCTAATCTCTAGGGCAAATTTGCTCTTCAGTGTTTCTAGTATCAGTTTTTGATCAATCATTAATAAAAGTTGCAATAAAAAGATAATCTTTTCAGGACTGGGCTGTAAAGGTCCTAGCTGCAATCTTAAATAAACTCTTCTGTGGAAGCCTCAGAGCCAGGGGAGAAGAGCTGGGTATCTGGCTGAATTTGGGGGCAAATGAAAGCACCGTCCGTCTTTAATCAGTGACAGAGACATGAACCTCAGCCGCCTGAGTGCCTATGGCCTCTTGCTTCTCCACCTCTCCTGCCAGTGAAGCTGGCAATGCCCTGGCTCCTAAACCAGGTGGCAAAGCTGGGGAAGGAGGCTATAGCTGGGCCCAAGTGTGAGGGCTCAGGGGTACTCTATGGAGTCTAACCGCTGCCAGGGGGCTCTGAGGCCAGGCCCATGGTAGTGGAAGCAGGAGTGGCCCCAGGACCCAAAGAGTCCCGTAGTGGAGGGAGCCACTACTTCTCATGGCCTGGCTTATATGGCTACAGGGCAGAGGGAGTCTGAGACAAGGAGGTGCCACACTTCCTGTGGGAGAGATAGAGGCTCCTCCCCAGGGCCCAGCAGCGGGCTCAGGCTATGGGGCCCTCACTTCTCTCTCAGCCACAGTGGAGGGGGTGGCTCTGCTCTTGGAACATGAGGCTGCTGGGTTTGGAGAGGCTGGAGAAGCAGGATCTAAGTGCTAGGGTCAGCAGGGACAATGTGAGACCTGGCACTACCTCCAAGAAGCAAGGGACCAAGGCAGCATGGAGGTGACCTGAACCTCACACAGCCCAGACCAACAGCGTCCAGAGAGCCGACACGCCCAGGTGGCACAGCTAAGAACTCCTTCCGATGAACTGCTGGGCCTGCTCTGGATCCCCCGCTTTTAGATACATAAAAGAAACGAACATTTTTCAGGGCAGTGCAGCTCTGAGGGTGCACTGCCAAATTATTCAAAGGCCTGATATCCAGAACAGGGACAGAAGGCTCCGGATGGCTCCAAGAGAGAAAGCAGCACAGTGGGAATGGCCCAGGGAGACATGGGGAGACTCTTTCTTGTAAGGCCAACAGGGAGACACACACACATTCACACACACCACATCACAGATACACACCCACACATGCACACACACACCAGGTATACATATACGCACATACATCAATGTACACACACACACATGTACACACAGCACAAACACATACATATGCACACATGTGTACCCATGACACTACACACACAGGCATGCATATTCTACACAGTTGCACACACATCCAAATATAACTCACATGTACGCACATACAACATACATGTACCACACACACACCACAATATATGTATACACATAAATCACACACGAATGCATGCATGCACGTGAATGTTTTTGAGAGAGAGAAGCACAAGCAAAGAATGGAAAGATGGACACTGAAATTTTAACAGTGGCGTTCTCTACCTGGTATTTGTGAATGATTATAATTTTTTTCCTTTTGTGCTTATTTTTTCTCAAACTCTGTGAAATAGCCAAGCTATTTTTTTTTATTATGGTGAAATATACACCAAATGTACCATCTTAATCTCTTAAATGTACAATTCTGTAGCACTCAGTACAGTCACACTGTCGGGCAGCCATCACCTCCATTTCCCTCTCGAACTTTCTCATCTTCAACGTAAACTCTGGGTCCATTAAACACTAACACCCTCTGCCCCCTCCTTCCAGCTCCCTGGCAACACCATCCTACTTCCTGTCTCTATGAATTCGACTAGTCTGTGTATCTCATATAGGTGGAGTCAAATAATACTTGTCCTTTTGTGACTGGCTTATTTACTTAGCATAATTTTTAAAAAGAATTATTTATTTAATTTTATTTATTATTATGTTTAATTTGCTATAGGGTATGTGTGCACCAGAGAGAGACAGAGAGAGAAAGGAAGTAAAAAAGCCAGCTGCCAGATCTGGGACTCAAACCACAGTTGTCCATGTGGAAGTCTACAAGCTGGCCCCAACATAATGTTTTTAAGATCCATCCATGCTACAGAATGTGACAGAATTTCATTCCTTTTTAAGGCTGAATAATATTCTGTATGTATATGCCACATTTTGTTTATTCATTCATCTATCAATGGACATTTGCATTGTTTACACTCTGGTGACTGTGACTAATATTGCTTTGAATTCTTTTGCGTATATTCTAGAAGCCAGATGGCTGGGTC